TACCAAAAACAGCGGGGGACTTTTCGCACCTAACTGATATTCATGATTATTATTGTCGTATGTATATAAAAAAGAATAGTGTGAGGCTTCTTTCTGTATATACTAAAGTACTTGAAAGTGAAGATTTAGCCTTTTTTTTTACCTTTCTTGAACTGTAGTTTTATAACATTTTTGAAAAGAATTTATCATTATTTTATTGGGACCGTTACACACTACCTCGTTAAAGAGGCATCTAGGTGATAAGATACGACTCTCAATTAATCGCTGGTAATATCAATGGAGCGAAAGGTGGTTGCAGTCAGGTGTGTTTCGGATGAAAACCCAAATGTTGGTTTCGCCTGTGAATATGATTTCTTATCTGTTTGATTACGACGTATAATTTTTAAACATAGTTGATTTATATTAATTAAAGTGAAAATTTTGCGAAGATCTGCGGGATCAAGTCAAAAGATGTTTTAAAGTTAGAACTTGGTCTTTCTCTTTTCTGTCTTAAAATTTTCGAACTATTTTTGTATTACATTTATCTTCCGCTAAAGGGCGTAAGTTGAAAGTAGGATTCCTTCCTACCTAGCTAACAATCTTTATTTTGACAGGAATGTTGTTAGGAAGAGTGGAATGTTTCCGTAAAAGTATAAACTGAACCAGGTGGGATTCGAACCCATTATCCTGCTTCTTATTTTATTTGCTGCTAAGGGCAGAATTTTCACAGGACTTTTGGACTACAGGATGGTGCGTGTTTTCTTAACACATCGTACCCCCCCCCCCCATCCCCATCCCAGTGGCATAGCGGTATGTCTACTGCGGAACACAACGTTGAAAACCGGGTTTCGATACCCGTGGTGGGCAGAGCACAGACAGCCCGTTGTGTAGCTTTGTGCTAAACTTTAAACAAAATTAGCACATCGTACGTCAGAAGGGGACTTACTTGGAAACATTAAAAAAAAACGTATATGGATATTATAAGTGTATTCCTTGTTGAGATAATGAAAATGCAAGATTTTAGCAGGAAGAAGAGAACCGAATCGAGAAGTTATCTTTACGTTCAAGACTTGTGGTTATTATCCCTTAGAGGTTCTGGTACTATCGAAAACCTTTACTGTTGAGAAAGGATCGACAATGTTTCCTCGGGAAATGATGACTTCTCCTTGTCAACTGTGTGTGCTTTTTGTTGATGATAAGAAACTTCCAAGTAAAGTTCTTTTTATCTTCTTTACGTGTGTGTGTATGTACGTATGTATATATATATATATATATACATACGTACATATATATATAGAGAGAGAGATCCTGGATATATGAAACGTAGAAAATCTGAGAAGAACTATATTATGTATTATATATATCGTGTAGATAGCTTGTTTTATACGTTGTTCATTGTCATCGAAGTCGCATTTGTAACTATTGAGAGAGCTATATATATATATATATATATATGTGTGTGTGTATTTATTGTACTTGTATATACAGTAAGGAAATAATGAGATCTTAATGAAAAATATATATTAATGAACCTATTACAAAGTACGCACTGAATTATTATAAATTATTAGACACTGTTTCAAAATTACTCGTAGTTATATAGTATAGCAGAGCACAAAGGCTGGGCATTTCGGAGTGAAAAATGCTTGTCTTGGGAATTTTCATAATGTTAATGTCAGTATCACTGCAAATTTTCCATTTTAACGTCATGGAACACTGCTCTGTACGAATGAAGCTATCTCTCATACGAACTGAAAGTTTTGGGTACTCTCATACTCGACCTAACCCTCGAACCTACATCTATTCATACCCGCATTATGTGTATTAGTGTTATTTTCCATTGAAAGACGAAAGAGCTTAGTTGATAAATGAGTGGAGGGATTAACTCTCGCCCACGCTAGTCAGCGCCATTGTAGGGAAGTGGCAGTGTTGAAAGATAACGGTATATCACCGACATGGGAAGGCGCTGATGATTTAATACACTCCAGAGAATGGCAACTCAGATTATGGCAGTCCAGGAGAGGTTTTAACAGACTTGAGATAATGCAATTTGTTAGGGTTCTGCACACTGGTCACTTAATTTACTCTTATCTTGCAAGAATGGGAGTGGCACTTACTGCTTACGTCAGCAACAACAGCATTCGAATGATGGTCGATGGTGTGAACTGGTGGCTACAGTCCTTAGGCTCGAATAACTTCCCTCGTCTTTTCTTTTACTCCCTTCCTTCTTAGCATACAGTAGTATAAATATACACGTTTGGTTTCCTGCTAAGAAGAAGAAAATAATACTCTGTTTTTTGGTTGGTACTTAATTACAGCAAACAGAAAATTGTGCTTATTAAATTATAATCGAATGATGGAGATTTTAAAGACAAGTATTTAACACTATGATGTTGTATTACAAGTTTTTATTAAGTAAATTTTACATCACTTTTCTGTTTGCTAAGAACGATAAAATCTATGCCAAAAATATTTTGGTCCACAATTTTACAAATTAAAATACGTATAACCACTAGCTCACACTGTGAATGCCTGTGTTAACAGATGTCGGTTTGATTGAAAGTTATGGATGTATTTATTATTCGGTAATAATGTTGGCCTTGTGGCTTTTTTGTTCTATATTTAATTCTTTAGATGTTTTTCAAAAAATTCCCATGTGTATTTAAGTGGGGAATATTTTCTTAGTCTCAAGGTATACACATTAATAATGTAGATATTTTATTCGTATAAATGTTTGATTTCCATGTGGTTTTATTATTTCCACAGTTCTAAGTTTACGTAGCACACAGGAAGATGAACCACCTGATCCACAGTTGATGAGGCTAGACAATATGCTAATAGCTGAAGGAATCGCCGGTCCGGAAAAAGGTGGAGGCGCTGGTGCAGCGACTAATGCATCTGCAGCAGCCTCTGGTGGACCAGGTCAACTTGAACAAACGATAGAACATTCAGATTACAGAGCGAAGTTATCACAAATTAGACAGATTTATCATCAAGAGCTTGAAAAATACGAACAGGTAAGAAATAATTTCAGTTCATTTGTTTTCAGTTTATGAACAAAAATCGTTAGTTACGTCATAACTGACTCAAATTGTTGTGGCCTGAATGTAACATCTTGAACGTTATCATCATGTGTTAACAATAACATTCTGGACGTTATCATCACGTGTTAACAATAACATCCTGTGATAACAATAACATTCTGGACGTTATAATCTTGTTGTAACAATAACATCCTTGACATTATCATCTTGTGGTAACAATAACATCCTATACATTATCATATTGTTGTAACAATAACATCTTGGACATTATCATCTTGTGGTAACAATAACATCCTGGACATTATCATCTGTTGTATGTTGGAACAATAACTTCCTGGACATTATCATCATGTGGTAATAATAACATCCTGGACATTATCATCTTGTGGTAACAATAACATCCTGGACGTGATTATCCTGTGGTAACGATGTAGTATTCTTCTTTAACTGTTAGAGTCGATAAAAAATAAACTATCATAACTTTTTCAACATGTATGCTATAAGCACAAAGCAGAATCTCTAAATATTTTCTATTTTGTTATTCGTTTAAAACGCCACTTTTGTAAAATATGTTTATTTGCTAAATTTGAACAAACAAAATAATAGACATACTTACAAGTATGTTCTTCAGTGAGGAAAACGTTTGAGTTTAAATTTTAGTTGCTTTTTCACTGATGGAAACTTTTTTCTAGTAAAATAATAAAACACAGTATGTATTTAAGTTTCATCTTAACTTCTGAGAGAGAAAAGCTCGAAACATCAAATTGACCATAATGTTACTTATCTGCCATGTTTGAGTCATTGTGAAAAAATGGGTATCGATTCACGAGCAGGAATTAATGTTTTGTGCTTGTACACCAACCCACATGTTTTTCCCTCCCCTTTGCTTTATCTCGTTAAAAAAAAAGGAAGAGAAAACCAATTAAGGTTCGTTTTCTAAGTCATTGCTCTCGTGAAGTATTTCGAAACTTGCTTTTCTTTTTTGTTATATTTTTAATAGATATAAACTCGTATGTTACTTTTTATTTTATTTATTCTTTGTTTTTAACTGAAAGTGACATCCTCCGCTTTCCAAGGAAAAAAAAACACATTGCTACTTCATTACATTGTGTGTCTGATTAGATGACAAAAACCTGAATATTTAATTCCTTTTGAGAGTGGTTATACATTTTAAGTGTTGTGAAACGTGACCTTTCTCCCAAAGAAAAATATTAATATAACAAAATGCCTTTGCGAAGCCATGCTTCAAATAAGAAAGGGGAAATGGTTGGCACTGAAAGCAATTAACTCTAAACGTAGTTGAAAAATCAAAAAAGTAGCAATTCTACTTGAAGGGAAAGTAATTTTCCGACAGAAACTTCTTCGCTAATATTTTAGTTCGTAACTTTTTTTCATTGTTTTTGAAAAACATAAATAGATGAATAAATAAATGAGATACTGTATATCCGTATAGGCGCTTATAAGTTAGGACTGAATATTTAATTCCTCATTTCCCTCTCAAGTAAGAATGTAACATCCTCATGTCTGCCAAAGCGGCAGATGCAGAGAGATTCACACAAAATGAGAAAAACATCGCGGTTATTAGAGTTTGGACTGTCCGTTCCGAAATAACTTGTTTCATAAAAAAAAAAGAAAATAATAATAATTAAAATGTAATTGTAACGGTTTTAAAAATCTTTATACAGTATGTCATTAGCATGCATTTTTGAGTTGTAGAGATATTAACATTAAAATGGACAAAAAACAAAGCGATTTTGATAACTTTTTTTGGTGTTTTTACGTTCCTGTAATATATATCTTAGTGGTGGTAATTAGTGTTATTACAAATTTATTATACTTAAATATTAGATAATATTTTGGAAATGGAATATTTATGTAATAACCAGATAATTATTTGAATTTTTCTCTATAGGTAACATAAATTAAGATGTTGTGCTTGATACCATGATAGGCATTATTATTTTGTTTAAAGTTCTAAAAAGGTCAGCTTGTTTGAAACTGGTTACCGCATTCATGACCTTAGAATTTTGTATCCACGAATTATAATTTTACGTGGATTGAGTTTCAGTTGTCATTGTTCCATGTCTGTGTGTGTGTGTGTGTGTATGTGTAACGTAAACTTATGTAATTTATATTTATGATCAAGGTTCAAATAGTTTATAATGTATATTTTTGCACACAGTAGCAGCGCTCTTCGTTGACCCGATTTTTGCGGTAGCTGTTTTCTTAATGCAAGCCACCGATTAAAAGAACTTGGGAAAGACTGGCCCACAGAGTTGAGTCTAAAGGCCACGTGACCTCCGGCATGGAAAACCTGTTATTAGGTAGTTCGAGAGTCCTTGCATCCTATTAACTTTGAAAGACCATTTTTGTCGGCAGAGTAGCAATTTGCGAGTAGGCAAGGAGGTTTGTTTTGGCATGAAAAATTACACAGTGTATGATCCGTTTCCCACGGATATAATTATAAAGTGATCTTCCATCACACTTAGGCGTCAGACTGCTTCCTGTCACTGGTGTTAGAGTGGTAACCTCCTAGGGCATTGTTCTCTAACAGATTCAGCTAAAGTTAAGTAAGAAATAGCACTACTCTAGTACATAGATATCAATCGGTCTAAGCAATGCCCTCTCATAGTTTCCCGCGGAGAAATGGAAAAAATGTGTTCTACATTTCTTTATTTCCTAACATTTTCCCCATTCTCTGATGTCCAATTGTTTACATGGATTTTATATTAAGTGTCATCAGTTGCGACTGTTTTTAGAATGTATTGATGAACAGAAAATTCTTTGTAAATAAATAATATCGTATTGCAAAGCGAAGCATCCCTCCAGATCAGCCATCATGCAGGTGACTCATCAACAGTGTATGGATGTATTTAGATGAACGTTGTCACTGTGATAGACATTTCTGATACAACTTTAGACCTCAGTAATGGCTCTGGCGGGCCCGGCATGGCCAGGTGGATAAGACGCTCGACTCGCAATCTGAGGGTCGCGGGTTCGAATCCCCGTTCCACCAAACATGCTCGCCCTTTCAACCGAGGGGGGTGTTATAATGTGACGGTCAATCCCACTATTCGTTGGTAAAAGAGTAGCCCAAGAGATGGCAGTGGATGGTGATGACTAGCTGCCTTCCCTCTAGTCTTACACTGCTAAATTAGGGATGGCTAGCGCAGATAGCCTTCGTGTAGCTTTGCGCGAAATTCAAAAACAAACAAACAAACAAAACCAACAACAAAAATAGTTTGCCTTCCTCTACTTTCAGCATATTCTTTTTGTTGTTTGAATTTCCTCTTTGATGTACCAGAGTTATGCTTGTATTGTTGAGACATTCCTCAATTAGAAAAGGATCTTAAGATGAAAAAAGAAAATAGTGTCTACGTTATTTTCTCAAGCTACAATTCCCCATTTCGACTTCACTAAAATTGATAAGCACTATAGATGTGCAGTCAAAATAGGGATTTGTAGCTTGATAAAATAATATACACACTATTTCCAGCCTACTTTGTTTACTTTTTTTTAGCGTCCCTAGTTGTAGACTGGAAAATATAATAATTGCATTTTGATTAAACTTGTTTCTGTACTTTTTTGACGATTCTTATCCCCCCTTTTTATTATCAACAATTTTAGGTTATCTTGGTGCTTAGGTTTTTATGTCTATTTATGTAGAATAAATTTTAAGTTATATACGTGCATATACATTCAGTTGAATGTTACATGTTTTCAACAGTTTACTGTTACATTGGCTCTTTTACCACCCAACCATTATTTACTGAGCCAGGTGATTTTGTGTCTGAAGTTTTGTGTAAACACGCATTTAACAAGCGTCGAGTACAAAGGAAGCCGCTCACAACAACATCGCACATATTATGTATTTATAGCCACGTAAATCAACTTTCAATGAAAAATAATCACCTTTTTAAATAATTCATGGACATTCGTAGCAGTTCATTAAATATATCTGCCTAGCCGATTTTTCTGTAGGCTTGTGAAACAAAAATATGAACAATAATAATAAAATAATACTAAAATAAGCACTCACAATTTCAGCGAAGTACGAAAATCTGTAAAATAAATCACCACTCAGAAGAGTAGAGAAATCTACTATGGTGATTATCTACTGTTAGAAACTAACTGAAATAGTCGCAGAAAACCATATAGAGACAAAATACAACAGCAAACTCGAGAAATGATGAATCCTCAACGTAGCAGTTTCCAATTAATGCATTATAAGTTACACGAATTAGTTTCCAATTAATGTGCATTAGTAAAACACCGGATTTTTTTCCATGGAGGAAAGTGAAGGACCTAAAACAATTATTCAGGACGAAAAAACGAAGGCACTTGAATTAATTTTAAAACTACCCTATGACATATGCAGTACTGCATCCATTACTATTTTCCAGATTTCAGTAAAATATTCGTAGCCGTTTCTTTTCTGTAACGACTTGTAAAACTATAGTCAATAATAATGAGGCTGGAGACACTATTATAAATATACACATTGTTTTCTGTAACAAAACTAAGTGTTTACGACTAGTATAAAACCGAGCATTTCTGACTAATATAACTTTGCATGGATTTTACAATTCTGAAATGCTTGAATGGCTTCGAAGAGCTTATGTAGGTAATGAAGAAGAACTTAGAAAATTTTAGAGGGTGGAAATCTCGACTTTCAAGAATCAACTTTAAAATAGCACTACAACTTCCGTGGGAGTTTATTTAGTAACTGTGCATAGATTTTAGCGCAGTATACCTAGCCGTTTTTGCTGCATGCTTAGAGACTTGAATGGCTTCGAAGAGAAACTTGGCCAGTAGCGATGAAAAACTGATAAAATCTTTCCTTCTCTTTCAAGAATCAACATAAACGCAATCCTATGACCTGTGGAGGAGTTTATTTTAGTAGGCCTGAATAAAATATTCATAGCGATTGTTTTCTGTAAACTTGTGAAACAGAATAATAATAATAAGAACAA